TTTGGCCCTCCCTGCTGCTGCAGCTGCCACAGCTGGAGGCGGTGGTGCTGCTGCTGCTGCTGCGGGTACAGCAGACACAGCAGGGGCAGCAGCAGCAGCAGCAGCAGCAGCAGGGGCATCAGGCTACCGAGCCAGTGTCCTTGTGGGGCCCCTTTGCGTCAACCTTACGCCGACTTTGTTGCACGAGCTTCGCTGCTTTCTGCTGCTGCCACAGCAGCAGCAGCAGCAAGAGCGACAGCTGCAGATGGATGAGGATTCCCTGGACGGGCTTGCTGATGAGCAGCAGCGGCAACAACAGCATCTGCAGCAGCAGCAGCAATCACTGACAGAGCTGGCTCTCAGCCCCTCAGGGAGCCAGCGCAGCAGCATCTGCAGCAGCAGTTGTAGCAGCAGCTGCAGCAGCAGCCGCAGCTCTCTTTGGCGCAGCATGAGCAGCAGCAGCAGCAGCAAAGCCAGCAGCAGGCCCTACCCGCAGCTGCTGTATTCCATGGACAGCCGCGACCTCAACGTCAGGCAGCAGCAGCAGCAGCAACAGCCAAAAGGCCGCCGGCGCAGGGCTGATGCAGACGCAGCAGCAGCAGCAGCAAGGCCGGCTGCTGCTGCTGCTGCTAGTGCTCGCCAAGAAATTCATTTTGTTGTTTCTGTGCCTCACGTTGACGTGCAGCTCTTGCTGCAGCTCCCTTGTGGGAGCAGCAGCAGCAGCAGCAGCAGCAGCAGCAGCCTGTCGCAGCAAGAGAGGTGGCATGGTCGCATAGCAGCAGTAGCAGCAGCAGCAGCAGTAGCAGCAGGGCGTCCAAGTTTTCACTGGCTGCATTTCGCGCTGCGATCTGTCAAGTGAGAGTTGCAGTGCCAAAACCCTAAACCCTAAACCCTAACCCTAAACCCTTCTTGGCAAAATGAGCCCTGCATGCCTCGCGACAAAACCTGCTAGCTCGAGACCTCGTAGTGCAGCTTGCATGGTTTAGCGCTTAGGGTTTAGGGTTTAGGGTTTAGGGTTTAGGGTTTAGGGTTTAGGGTTTAGGCTTGGGATGTGCGCTTTATCAGGATCAGCCGCAGCTCTTTGCCCGAAGTGGTTGAGAGGGAGTTGCTGCCGCTGCTGCTGTGTCAGTGTCTTTGCTTCATCCCCGTGCTGCACATTGCCTTTGCTGCATGCAGCGACGCTGCTGCTGCTGCTGCTGCATCTCCCGCTGCTGCTGCTGTGACGGGAGCGAAGCAGCCTGGTGCAGCAGCAGCAGCAGCAGCAGCAGCAGCACACCCAAAGCAGCGCCGAAGGCACCAGCAAGGGCACAGATGCACCAGCTCTTCTGTCACGGTGGGGCTACTGCAGCTGTCGCTGCTGCAGTATGAGCATCAGCAGCAGCGAGCAGCAGCAGCAACAAGCGAGCCTGCTGTTGCGGGAGCTGCTGCTGCTGCTGCGCAGTCCAGGGCACTGCTTTTGCTGGAAGGGTTGGAGGCTGAGGTCATGCAGGAAGACTTCGACAGCAGCTTCGCTGCTGCTGCTGCTGCTGCTGCTGCTACTGCAACAGCACAGCGGGCCGCTGCAGCAGCAGGAAACGGTCCAGTCGCGGCACTGCAGCTGCAGTCCCATGTGTACGCTGACGCCCGCACAAGCAGCGGCAGCAGCAGCAGCAGCAGCAGCAACATGACACCTCAGTGCTGCGTGTACACCTCAGCCTATAGGGCCGCTGGAGAGCTGCGGTGTCTCGCGATTGGAGCAGCAGCAGCAGATGTTGCTGTTGCAGCAGCAGCAACTCGCAGCCTCGTCGCGCATGCACTTGGTGTATACGTTGAGCTGCTGCGTCTCACCTGCCAGCAACTGACTCCGGACGTGCAGCAGCAACAGGACCCGCAGCAGCAGCAGCAGCAGCAGCAGCTGCAGGAGCGTTATCTGCAGCAGCACACACTGAAGCAGCAAACCAACGGCAAGGACACACCCCCAGCGGTGCCGCCACTACTTGCTATCGAAAGTGCAGCGTCAGCAGCAACAGCAACGACATCAGCAGCAGCAGAAGCAGCAGCAGCAGCAGCAGCAGAAGCAGAAGCAGTAGAAGCTGCCTGCGCTTCGTGCAGCCGCTACAACTGTCCTGGTTGCTTCGGAATATCAGTTGGCCTTGCAGCGGCTGCTGCTGCCCCGTCTGTTGATGCTCCGTTCGAAGCAGCAGAAAT